CTTTGTTGGGTGGTTTGTTATCGTAGTTATTTTCAAGAATATAAAATGATTAATCAAAACACGAAGGTTTGTCAGTAAGTAATTTTAAATATTTGAATTTTTTATGCTCAATTAACTTTTGTTAGTAATTAATTTTATGTAATATGCTTGACTAAAAATAATAACACTCTTTTTTTTTTGAAGTATTAAATGATTTCTTAGAGTTTATTTTATATGTAGAGGAACAAAATGAAGGAAAATGTACATTATATTTTATAAAAAAATCTTTTTAAATAATAATATGATTATACATTTGAGCACCTTAGATATTTGAGCACTTCATACTAATCTTCATGATAGAGTAAAGTTTTGAATACAACCTTTGATTCACTTCAAACCAAGATTTTCATTCTAACAACTAATTGAGTCAATTAATCTCATAATGCAAAGGTTGTTGCCCTTTTTTAATTTAGTTGAAATAATTATTAAAGTTTGAAATTATTATCATGTCATGTGTTTGTTTAATATTTTTAGCTCAATAAATTATAAACCCTTTTAGTTAACTCACTAAATACATCATCTTGAAGTCTTAATTATTTTGAGAACTTTTTGATCAATTATAGCTTATAACTAAATTGTGAGATTTATCAATGATTATTTCATTACGTAAATTTGCTTAGTAATTATTTACGCATTAGTGTTAAGTTTGAGATTCAAATTATGTTGAGCCTAGGTTGCGAAGCTCATATGATAGTTGAGATTCAAATTATGTTGAACTTAGGTCGAAAAGCTCATGTGACATTTGTGATTCATGTTAATTATGAGAATTCTTTTAGGGATGTATGGAGGTCAAATGACCTTAATATTATGGATTCGTTTGGGATGACTTTCTTACTGCTTCTTAAAGTAATTTTTTTTTGTACTAAAATTTTTAATTTTTGTACTAAAAAACTACTTTAAAAGTAGTAATAAAGCTGTCCCAAACAAAACCTATGTCTCATAATTAACTTGAATGACACATATCACGCCATCAAGTTCTTTCAATTATAAACATGAAATATCTTAAGGACATTAAACCATATTAACAAAAAACATACCAATTTCTCAAATAAGAAAAAATGATAAAATTTGATTAGAAATTTTTATGAATTTAATTTGAAGTTTTTTTAATTTTAATCAATCACCATAAATTTAACAAACCGATGGAGTTAAGTTCTAACTTGAACATGGTAGGTAGCTTGGTACCACCATTTGATGGTGGAATTGAATAGAATTTTCACCTTGATCATGTTATTGAGGATTATTAGATAATTGATAGTCGATTAAGTGGTAATTTTAGCGATAATGATAGTGATCATGAAAATGACCACATAGAGGACTTGAGAAATTAAGTTCATTTAGGACATGGCTTATTACAACAATAAGCCTTTGTTAATCATGATATGGCATATCATATGATATCGATTGATGATTTTGTTCAATATTATCATATGACATAGGAGTAAGGCAAGTCTATAAACTTCAATGTTCCCTTTGAGGACATGACAACAAATTATGAAGGATTTATTCCAATTGAGCTAGCTGAAGATATATATTTTTTTCATGCAAAATAGAACTCCAATGCATCATCAATGAATGTTTCATTATTAATAATGTTAGTTTAGATTGATTTATTCCAATAAGAGCATGTTACAAGTAATTTGTGTACAACATGACTTCCTATTGCATTTTTCAAAAGTCTGAGGAAATGTGAAATAAAACTACAAAAATTGCCTTTGTTTCATGCTAACAACTCTGGCTACAAATAACATCTTTCATCATTTTTTAAATAATTCATTACCAGGATAACAAACAAACATAACACTTCAACATTAAGCTGCAACCACTTGGGCATCCCCTTCCATTGCGACATCTTCCCCAGGCCTATCGAGCTTAATGCCAATATCTTCCTTGTAATCTCCATGAACCTCCATAAGTTTTCTGAGATCAAGCTTTGGAGCCTTGAGAATTTTCACCTTGCGGATAAATAAATTATGCAGGGGTTAGATGCTTGTTGTTGTCTTCTCAATCTCCTTACCTATGACCTCTGGAATGAATTTATGCACCAATTTCTTCAGGTCACATGATGAAGCTTGATTCAACATGATCTCCCTCATTTTATGACGAATCTATCTTATCTGACTACTCCGAGCATAGCAAGTATGCTTTACTTGATTTGGCCTTCTCTTGGTGAAGACAATGCAGAACAATCGCAAGGTGTAATTATCAGTAGTTTTCACATGAACATGAGCTTCAATTAATGTCTGCCATTTGCGAGCCAGAAACATGAGCTTGTCGGTGGTGAAATCCATGCCCCAAAAGTCCGTGAGAACATTTTTGCCTTGAACATCCTCTACACGAAGCCTAATCTTTTTGTATGTATGATCCTTATCATTCTAAAGATTGGCCAGGCATACCTCAAACACTATGCTTAAGACCTTGAGAAGCAATCTTGATTCCATGTGTCCTCGACACGAGAGTCTTCTCGATATTCCTCACCGAAAAAACCAATGGAGCCTTGATGTCATACCAATCCTTCTTCGAGAAGGGATCCACTATCTTCTTCTTCCCTCCCTTCTTCCCCTTCAAGATCCTCTTGTTTTTCCCGACCGACATGTCTACTTTCTTCTCCCGTCTGCAGCAATTAGGGTTTCAAGGGAAGTTCAAAGCAGAGGAATCAATTTTATCATTGTTTTGTTGTTTGTATGCTTTTTTTTCTTACATGTAAGCCTTTGATAATTGATTTAGTATTGAATTTTAAAATAAAATTAATATAATTTCTCCACTATGATTATAATGTAAATATCTAAGTTTTCATTAATGTAATTAATAACTATAATTATTTATACTAACAAATTTAATATTTTTTCACAATAATAATATATTAATAATTTTTTTTATTTTTAAAATTTTATGCACACGAGTAGTTTTTCAGCAAGACAAGCTATCATTTGAATAGTCTCTTAACAAGACATTTTAAATTATATAAGAGATTAAAAAAAAAAAAAAAAATGAAGACCAACTCACACAAATTTTTTGCACTTCCGTGAGGAAGAAATGTGAAGTACTAAACTAAGAAGAATGCAATCTTCTATCCGCTGGGACACAGCATCGATGAACTATTGGCAAAGGTGTGCAACTGGTGATGAGTAGATAGAAAAAAATCTCACAATGGAGGTGAGTGTTGGGGCAAATTATTATGTCCGGTCATCGGATCTAAAAATAGGTCTGGACATCCTCTAAAAATTTGCCACATGGACTGCGCTTTGACTCAAAAAAGTGCAGTCAAAAGCGCATATAAAGTGTAGGTAAAGCTTGGATGCTCGGACCTAAAAATAAGTCCGATGACCGGACCTAATAATTTGTCGAGTGTTGTGGGCTGATGGGCTAACGGGTTTGACACGTCGACAAGACATAGATGGATGAGAGAGGGCCGTAGTTGAGAGTTCGAGGTGAGGGTCGGTGTTGCTTGATTTGGCGAGACAGAGAGGAGCGTTGTGAGCTTCAGCGGACTGCGCTTTGACTCAAAAAAGCACAGTCAAAAGCGCAGATAAAATGTAGGTAAAGCGCACTTAAAGCGCACCTAAAGCGCAGTCAAAGCTCATTCAAAGTGCACAATCAAAGCGTAGTACACGTGACAAGTTTTTATTGGATGCTCGGACCTAAAAATAAGTCCGGTGACCGGACCTAATAATTTGTCGAGTGTTGTGGGCTGATGGGCTAACGGGTTTGACACATCGACAAGACATAGATGGATGAGAGAGGGCCGTAGTTGAGAGTTCGAGGTGAGGGTCGGTGTTGCTTGATTTGGCGAGACAGAGAGGAGCGTTGTGAGCTTCAGCGGGCAGAAGATCTAGAATAGGTGCAACCAACGTTCATCTAGAAGGAGAAGAGCGAGAGAGGCTCTGCGTTCAAAGAGAAAATTTGGCCAGGATTTTTTTTATGGGCCAAGAGGGTAACTGTTTAACTATTAATTAAAGGAGTCATCATTAAATATGGACGGATGCCACGGGTGTGAATAACGAGCCAAAAACATAAAAATAGAAATAACTATATTTGAGGAATTTTTTATTAGGAGGTAAACCAAACATGAGGTGTGAAATGGTAATTGGAATAAGAGTCCTAAATAAAAAGCGATAAATATGTCATGACATATCAATATTTAAAATTTTAATTTAAATTTGAAACACAATTTTATTAGGGGCCAAGAGGACAATTGTTCGGCTAATAATTGGAGTCGTCATTAAATACGGATAGATAGATGGCTCGAATGCGAATAACTAGCCAAAACATAAAAAATAGAAAAAAACTATATTTGAGGAATTTTTATAACTAAATTTCATTATTTTTTCAACCAAAATTTTTTTTCTCAGATTAAATTTCACCAAAACCCAACTCATGAATTTGAAAATTTCAACAACAATAAATTTATGATCTTACCATCTAAAACAACAGTTGTTAAGTTAGGACCCCAAGAGACTTGCAACTCAAAAGCATTGAAATGCAACTGAAATGAGAATGCCTCAACTCTTCCAATAAGATCAAAAATTTTAAATTAGGTAATAATTTTATCCATCACACCCTTAGCACTATATGACTTGAACAATCATAATTAGTTAAAAAATCTACATGCAAATATAGTAATAAATTCCACCTAAACCCTAAACTTGAAATATACAGTACAATCATTACCGTAAGAAATGTTTTATTATGCTTCATGAGATCATTTATCTGAAATTTTAAATTTCAAACTGGAAACGCTCAATCAACTCTTTTAACTTTTACAAGCTTGTAATTTGGGTTCGTTCCTCCCAATTTTTAGTGGAAAAAATGAGGAAAGCAAAGATTGATGCTTCGGCTTTGTTTGGGATGGCTTTCTTCCTGTTTTTTAAAGTGATTTTTTAGTAAGAAAATTTCTTTAAAAAACAGGAAGAAAGCCGTCCCAAATAAAGCCGCTCAAAAAACAAAATGTAGCTTTTAAATTGATAAAGGCCTACAAAGATCATAATTTCAATGTTCAACTCAATACTTGCAGTTCAAAAACAAGATCTTATAATAAGAAATTTACATTAGAACCCAATCCTTCAAAAACAAAGCACAGCAACTATTGAAACTCTTGAACAGGGCAATGAGATCATACAGAGTACTTTACAAGGTTATGAATGCGTGCTATGCAAAACATTGGGCGCCTGGGTTTGAATAGAACATTGAAATCATCTCCGCTCCGCCGGTAAAACAGCGAAGAATGGCCAGCAGAGGAGAATTGATTGGATTCTTCCATTCCCAAACAAAAAATTCACTTGATCCTCAAGCCTGAGATCTCGGTTAAGAATTCATGGAAGTTCTTTCGAAAGCGGTGCCGGTTGGGTCTGTCAAGGGAAGATGAAAGGTTGTTTGAACTTGTAAGAGAATGAAATGATTTGGCCAATCTTGTTCTGAGAGAATCGATTGGCTGTTTGTCGATGAACTCCTGTACTAGCCTCTGCACAAGGAAATGAAGCAAGTGATGATAATCATTTGAAGTGAACAATGGAGGAAGCTTCATAGGATTGCAACCATTTGTGAAGTATAAAAACAACACATTACATGCCTGATATAAATCTTGCTCACATAGGATTAGTGGAAGAAGTGCATCAGCTGCTGAACCAGTAAGATCCACTCTGCAATGAGGATAATAACAGGAAAAAAAAAGACAAATTTTTAAAGTAAAAATAATAATAATAACATAAAATATAGATATAATCAATAGCAACAACAGGCTTCTTTGAAATATACAAAAGAATAGATCACATTAAACCAATATTTAAGAAAATTAAGAGCACAAACAAGAAAATTAAGAGCACAAACAACTTAATGTTAAACTTATACATGAAGTAAGAACAGAGTAAGAGCGGTATAGGAAAAACGGATAGGCATTGAAATATCGCATGCAACAAAACCCTCAAGTCACATGAAAAAACTCTATTCAAATGTCACACATAGATTAAGGCTTCATTTGGGACGGTTTTTTTATTGCTTCTTAAAGCCGCTTTCTAGTTTAGAAATTAAAATTTTTATACTAGAAAGCTACTTTAAGAAACAGTAAGAAAGCCATTCCAAACGAAGCCTAAGCCTCCACCACACTCCAAATTGCGTTCATATGATAACATAATAAAAACGACCATATAAGATTAGAGTGGCATTTGAATAATATCATAACTGGCTAGTATTAAATCTAAAACAACAATAACTCATAAATGAATTTAGCCCACAGATGATCAATAAGAATTGGTTGAATTAATCCAATCCAATATAGAAAACTAAAAAAATCAGAGAAAATAATAGTTTACGTTTCCATAGGAATCCTCATCATATGCATGTTCCAATAATAGAAAATTATATATTAACTAATAATTAATAAAACTTAAAAAACTTTCTTCAGGACATTTATTTATCTTAATCAAATCTGCTAGCTTTGGACAAATTCGACTCCACTGAATTTAGCATTTGATATTCATAAAGCAAATTATGATATAAATTTTTTGCTTCGTAAAAAAGTAATTCAAGAATCATCAATCAAGACCATCACATTAGTGAATAAGTTATCTCTAAAATCGACCACCAAATATTAAGACAATTACAACATTTAGAAAAGCCTCCAAAATAAGTTACATAAGTATCTAATAGAGCATTGGATGTGATCTCACAAGAGGCTGAAGGAGAGAAGGAGCCATGGAATTGAATATAGCCTCATGAAACAAGGTCAAATAAAATATATTCAAAATTAAATTTATACCAAAATGTTTTAGACATGAGGTCAAATGTGTCATACAATTATTGCATTCAATCTCTTAAAATTTTGTTATAGAAAATTTTCAATAGATAATTATATGAATATCATCATGTTTAAAATCCTTGCACTTCATATTCACATAAAACATTATAATTTTTATAGCTAGTAGCTTGTTTTCTATGAATATTCTAATGCAAGTCATCATAGGTGCGAATAATTATGCAAATGTACGATGCTTATATTCTATAGGAAGGTCAACAAGATCTATAAAATGTTCAAGCTGATAAAATATGACAATCTCAAATGACTTAAGCCCACAGCCAATCTATAAATGAACTGTAAAATCTAACTGTTGACAACTGGAAGTTTGAGAGGGAAAAAACTTAAATTTTATTATACAACATAATCCCTATTTATAGATCTATACAAGATGCCTTAATAAATAAACAAATAACTACATAATAATGAGTAATTTCTTTAATATAATCCATCCTAAATCAGCTGCCTAGCTATGGAAGGTATTCAACGTGATTCAGGCGAGCTTCCCACGAATCTCTATTCGTAGCTGTGGGATCAATATGGGAACGAGAGGTTGGGATTTAACACTCCCCCTCAAGTTAGGGAATATAGATCTGTCATTTCCCGCTTGAAAATCATTTTGAGAAAGGAAAAGTTGTCTAATCCTTTGGTAAGGAAATGTGCAAGTTGATCTTTCGATGATACATGGTTGATACATACTAAACCATAGTCTAATTTTCTTTAATAAAATATTTTTCAACTTCTATTTTCTCGGTCCTGTTATGCTGGATTGGATTGTGAGCTATGCTGATTGCTAATTTGTTGTCAAAATATAACTTCATGGGATCATCCCACTTGATTCTTAGGTCTTCTAAAATCATCTTGATCTATAGTAACTCACATATTTCCAAGGTCATAGCTCTATATTCTGCTTCTGCACTAGTTCTTATCACCACATTCTGTTTCTTGCTTCTTCATGTAACTAGGATCCCGCAAAGAAATGTGCAGTTTCAAGAGGTAGATCTTCTGTCTATTGGTGATCCATCATAATCATCATTAGTGTATGCTTCTAGGATTATTCCGTGATCTCTTCTAAAGAGAATCCCTTTCACTGAATTTCCCTTAAGGTAATGTAATATTCTGTCTACTGCTTGCATATGTATCTGTTTTGGATTTTACAAAACTGACTGACCATACTTACAACAAATGCTATATCTGATATGGTGTGGGAAAGGTAGATCAATTTTCCCACAAGTCTCTGGTAATCACCCTTGTTTATATCTAGATCTTCTTTAGTTTCCCCCAACTTGAGATTTTATTCTACTGGTGTTGGTGCTGGCTTACATGCTCATTTTTTTGTCTCCTTCAAAAGATCTTTAAAGTATTTTTGCTGTGAGATGAAGATTCCATTACTGGAATGAGCTACTTCAATAACAAGAATGTATTTTAATATATCAAGTTCTTTGATATCAAATACCTTGGTAAAGTTTTTTCTTAGACTCACTTTCTCTTTTTCATTATTTCCAATCAAGATAATATCATCCACATAAACAAATAGTATTGTGACTTCCCCTGAGTCCGAGTGTTTAAAAAATAGTGTATGATCCCCTTGACTCTATTTATACCTATTAAGAAGCATGAATTTTGAGAATCTTTCAAACCAGACCCTTGGTGATTGTTTGAGCCTATAAAGAGAATTTTTTAATTTACATATCTTGTTACCTCCAATTTTTTCTTACATCCTAGTGGTATTTCCATAAATATCTCTTCTTCCAGACCCCCATGTAGGAATGCATTTTTTACATCCAATTATTTTATATGCAATTTGTACTTAGCTACTAGTGAGAGTAGGATTCTGACAGTGTTCATCTTGGCTACATATGCAAAGGTTTCTTGATAGTTAATGCCATATGTCTGAGTGTATCCTTTTGCCACTAGTCTTTCCTTGTATCTTTCCAGTAAACCATCAACTTTATACTTTATAGAGAGCTGATTGTTTTTTTCCTTGTCGGTAGGTTGATGATCTCCCATATATTATTTTTTTCTAGGGCCTTTATTTTTTCAATTTTCATCAAATAAAGCCTCAAAAATATTATTAGGAATATGAACATTTTCTAGTGCAACCAAGAAGTTTTTGTGTGAGGATGAAAATTTATTGAAGGATATAGAGTTTGTTATAGGGTATAAGGGAGGTGACGAGCTTATCTTATTTTCAGGAGATGGTTCAGATTCTTGGATCTACTTCGGAGCACAGTTTGAACTTGTACGCCTAAAATATACATTATATATTCCCAAATCTAATGACAACTTTGTCTTCAATTCCCCTATTTTGGATTTAAGGTGGATTGATTTGAGGTGGTGGAGGAAAGTCAAGAGGGGCAAATGCATTTTCCTCGTCTTCCTCTGTTTCAGTCTCCCCCTGAAGATGAGATTTGGTAAAATAGTAATTTTGTTCATCAAAAGTGACATCAATGGATAGTGATAACATTTGTAACCCTTTTGGATGGTTGAATATCCAATAAAGATATATTTGAGTGCCCTTAGATATAATTTTCTTCTATTCTAACTGTGATGTGAACATAGACAGAGCACCCAAAGATCCTGGGTGTAAGGTTATTATGGGTTTGAAACTCGGGGTAAAATGAGGACAAAACTTTCATTGGACTTTTCAGTCCCAAGATTTTTGAAGGTAGTCAATTTATGAGGTAAGTGACAGTTAGGAGGACTTCCCCCAATAGAATTTTAGTATATTGTGATGGAGTAGGAAGGCATAAGTGGAGGTTAAAAGATGACCATTCTTTCTTTTCGCAACCCCATTTTACTTTGGGGTGTGAACACAAGAAGATTCATGGATGATACATTCACTTTGAAAATAGGAGTATATGGTTTGGTTGAAGTAGTTTTTAGCATTGTTAGAACAAAATTTCTTTATTTTTACCCTGAACCAATTCTGAATTATGGTGTGAAAAATGGGAAGAATGGTGCTAACGTCAGATTTATTTTTTAAGAGATAGATCCAAAATACCTGAGTACAATCATCAATGAAGAAAACAAACCAGCGAGCCCTAGATTAGGGGTGTAAGTGAGCCGAGCCGGCTCGAGCTCGACTCGTTTATAGGCTCGCGAGTCGAGCTTGAGCTCGAGTTCGAGCTCGTTTAGTAAATGAGCTCGAGTTTGAGCTTGACGAAGCTCGGCTCGTGAGCTCGCGAGCTTGCTCGAACTAATGTTTATTTATTTTTAAATCAAATATTCTAAAAAAATAAATCAAATATTCACAACAGCTTTTTAAAAATATTTTAAAAATCAATACCAATAAATGCTAATAAATGAAAAACAGCTTTTTAATTATAAAATAATAAAACTTTTTTCAAAGAAATATATATTTAATCTAAAAGCTACTGAAGAATAGCAGCCTTTTTCTTTTCTAATTAATGCTAAAGTGGCATTGCTCACGCAGTCTCTGCTCCACCGGTTTGAAACGGGCGGATTTCCCAAAAAATAAAAGAACAGGCGGTAAAATCAAAAGCAGGCGGGAATGTTAGGAACGAAAACGAGCCGAAAACGAGCGGCTAGATAAGCTCAATATAGTGTTGTGAGTCAAGCTCGAGCTCGATTTTTGAGCTTGACTCGAGCTCGAGCTCGAGTTCGATCTTGGTATTTGACTTGCGAGTTGAGCTCAAACACCCCCCTGACTCGAGCTCGACTCGACTCGTTTACACCCCTACCCTAGATACGTTGGGGATTTTTGAGGGTCCATATATGTTACTATGAATAAGATAAAAATGAGTATTACATCTCTCATTTTTGTTTAGAAAAGAGGCTCTTTTATGTTTAGCTAATTCACATGTTTCACAATGAAAAAGTTCATTTTCCAATTTATAAAAAAATTTTGGATACATATGTTTTAAGATATCTAAGGATGGATATTCTAATAGAATATTGGAAGGAAGAAAGAGGTAAGAAATTATAGAGTTTATTGTTAATTTTAACTTTTCTAAAGTCATTAAGTTCTATAGATGATAATCCTAATTTTTATTTTAGGAGAATTCATCCAATATATGCAGGAGGTGTTTGAGGTAATTGATGTTAAGTATAGGATGATGTTATACACTTTATTAAATGACAGATTGTGATATTTATAAGATCGGAGAGATGATTGTAGGCGACTTATAGGCATAAACGAGTAAGAGATAGAGAATTGGAAGAGAAGACTCATTAGGAAGGTAAGTGTGTAAATTGAATTTACAAGTGCAAGAACTATTTATTCTTGATATATTTATGAAATTATCTGCATCGTTTGAAAAATAAAATGATTTGGAAAGATACCAACAACATAGCTGTTAATGGCGCAAAATAGCGTGTGCCGTGGCGCACGGCGTGGTACGGCGCACTTACGGCGCCATGTTCATGGTTAGGCACATCTGTTTAAAATAGCGCGCACTATTTGCGCCACATGTGAGTCATGGCGCATTGCGCACGGTGAAAAATAACGCGCCAAATTGTTTTTAAATTTATGTATACTTATGAATAATTTTTATATTTAAAAATATATCTATATTTTAGGATAAAAGACTATTCATTGCCGTAATTTCACGAAAGATTTTCTATTTGTTGCATCCGCCGAATACTTCCCGCAGTCTCTAAGTTGAGGTCGCTGAATCTATCCCGAAGTCGAAGGTTTTCTGTTTTCTGTTTGCTGCATTCGCTGCTTCTGTCGAATCCAGCCGAATCTGTCCTGAAGTTGAAGTCGTTTCCGTCGAATCGTCCCGCAGAGCATTGCTTATGCCAAATTCGCCCCCTCATTCGTCTGTTCCAATAAAAAATCTTACCACCTGACTCCGATTTGCAGCCTCCATATGTTCCGCACAGCTATGTTGTTTTGCACGGCTATTTCTTATAAGAATATACAACTTAACAGGTATGCTCGGTATCGTTAGGTACATGCTCGGTACCGTTATGTATATGCTGGACATCGCTCGGTACCGCTTGTTACATGCTCTATACTGCTCGGTACAGCTCGATACAACTAGGTACACGCTCGGTATCGCTAAGTACATGCATGATACCGCTATGTAAATGCTCGGTACCGCTCGGTATCGCTAAGTACATGCATGATACCGCTCGGTACCGCTATGTAAATGCTCGGTACATGCTCAGTACCGCTAGTTACATGCTCGGTACAGCTCGATACAACTAGGTACACGCTCGGTATCGCTAAGTACATGCATGATACCGCTCGGTACTGCTATGTAAATGCTCGGTACCGCTCGGTACATGCTCAGTACCACTAGTTACATGCTCTGTACAGCTCGGTACATGCTCGGTATCGCTAAGTACATGCATGATACCGCTCGGTACATGCTCGGTATCGCTAGTTACATGCTATGTACCGCTCGGTACAACTAGGTACACGCTCGGTACAGCTCAGTACAACTAGGTACAGCTCGGTACAACTAGTTACATGCTATGTACCGCTCGGTATAGCTCGGCACAACTAGGTACATGGTCTGTACCGCTCTGTACAACTAGGTACATGGTCTGTACCGCTCTGTACAACTAGGTACATGCTCGGTACCGCTAGGTCAAACCCCGCCAGGGGGCAGCGACCCCTTGGACCCCCGATAGCCCACATATTATGTTTCTTGGACAATATTATATTTTTTTATCTAAATTTGTTTGCTTTTAGGTGATCATAAAATGTCAGATTCAGTTCAATCTTTAAAAAAAGATCCAGCATGGAAATATGCTATACTAACAAATGAATCCGACAACAACAGTGTGACATACATTTTTTTGTGGTAAAATAACAAAAGGAGGAATTATACGCCACAAACAACACCTCGTTGGGGGTTTTAGGAATGCAAGGCCTTGCTCTAACTGAGATAGATGATGCATTAGGGGTGAAGGACTTTTTGGTATTCCTCCAGCTGTAAGACAAAGAACTACCCGATCTCTAGGTATCATTATTTACAAAAAAATTAAGGCTGATTTGTTATATAATATTGAAAAAAAAATTCATTTCTTCCAGCTGATTGGTGGTTGGCATATGGACAAGGAGCACCCAATTTACAAAGCTTTGCTATCAAAGTCCTAAGTCTAACATGTAGTTCATCTGGATGCGAACGCAATTGGAGTATTTTTGAACATGTAAGTAGTTTACAATGTATGTGTTGATTTTTTATATATGTTCATAATATAGTAATGTAATAATATTTTAATTACAGCTTCATAGCAAACGAAGAAGTAAATTGGATCATGGTCGCTTAATCGCTTAAATGATTTAGTTTATGTGAAATATAATAGAGCACTGATTTAGAGATTCAATCATCGTGATATCATTGATTCTATTTCTTTGACTGATATAGATGATGCAAATGAATGGCTAACAGGAAAATTAGATGATGAGTCTGATGAAGAAAATGACTTTATTGCTAGAGAAGAAGATTTAACTTGGACAAGTGTTGCTAAAGCTGCTGGTGTTTATGATAAAAGCTATAATATTCGGGAATGATCTAAAGGGAAAGAGAAAGGATCTTCAATTATGCATGATGTTGCTATTGAGAATGATGATGAGGGTTATGAAGAGGATTATGAAGTAGGAGACAATGTTGACGAAGATAATGAAGCTTTTTTAACATTTGCTGCTGATGATGATTCCCAAGAAGAGTAGATTAAATTCTTATTTGATCTTTTAAAAAAAGATTGTAATATTTGAATTATGAGATAATTGGATGTTACTTAGTCGAACTTATATATGTTATGGTTGTCTTTTATTATTATGATAGCTTGTCTTTCATTTTTAATAATATTTCATATTCATGCTTATTATTTTATAATTTTTATATAACTTGTGCCATGTTCAAAATAGCGCGCCGCGCCGTGCGCTATGCGCCATGGCTCCAAAGGGACCTTTGCGCCATGGTGCGCCATTCGCCGTTAACAGGTATGACCAACAGTAAATAGGAAAATATATTCATGCACTCAGGTATAAATAATTGCATATTAATATGAACGATTTAAGTTTTATATGTGAACAAAAATGATTGTTTAATCTTCTCTTCATTAATAATATTTTTAAAAGAGGTTTCATTCTTTCATGAATGCATATCAAATTCTACATGCAATAGATGTATGGTTCTATAAATTATGAATTGTATATAACCATCTTAATTAGTTATGAATTATGCATATATGAGGGTTACTGAATATTTAATTAGTAAAGATTGACTATTCTATGTTATGATATCTACATTATCAGACAGACAAAAGGAATCCAATATGAAACCTGTAATGTAGATGGGACAAAAGGGACCCTAGAGAATTTGATACATGCATAGCAGGTGGGGCAAAAGTGACCCATAAAACGGCAAAATGAACCTCTATATAGTTCAATGGTGGTAATGCCAGATTTACCTGGACTCAATTGAATATGTTTATGAAAGTATAACCAAATCTTTTAAAAGACTAAAATTAATCTTTAGTATCTAATCTAAATGAAATAAAGAATGATATCCAATATGATTTTATGATGTTTTATAAATAATGGTAAGTTGATTTAATGATGATTTCAATGTTGTAATTTATTTTAATATTGCATTTTAATTATTATTTAATTTGCAGAGCTTATTGAGCCTCATATTTCACCAATATCTTTTTTACTGGCTATTAGGAAAGGGAAATGAAAAAGTTGAAGAAAACTAAGTTGCAAGTATTTTAATTTATATGCTAGTTTTTAAATCTATATGTCAACCAACATTTAAGGTATGTAGACAGTTCAGTGAGATTTTATTTTGAAATTAGTAGTGGCTCTGTGAGTATTTCTTTGATGAAACTTTAGATTATTAAATGCTTCCGTTGGTGTATCAAATGATATGTATAAGATGTTTAATGATAAAAATGTTATATTTTTTTGTTTACACTCTACAACACTGCTAAGAGGTACTATGAGGTATTACAAAAAAAGTCTTAGAATCTTATTTTGTTGAAAAAAGGAAGACTAATGTTATTAAATAAGAATTTGCTTGATATTAAATATTTAAAGGTATAGAGCTTTAAACAAATATTTTTAAGGGAAAAATAGAAAGAATAGAAAATTCAAATTAAGGAAATATTAAATCTAGTTTATGTAAAATTATATGCTCAAATTTAATTTGAAATGATAAGGTTGTAAGTGATGATCACTAATACACTTAATTAAAACTAAAGATAAAATAACTAAGACATATATTTAATGGATGGTAATATGTCATTTACAAATGAGATCAAATCATGAGTATTTTCTTATATACTATGATTTTAATGAAATTAATTAGCAAGGTCAAAGTAAAGAAAATTTAATTATCATCAACTGCCCACCATCCGTTTTAAATCGTTTATACTAAAAGCTACAGCATTTAGATCCTAACCACCAGCCTAAAACAAAAGGTCTATCTTGTGACCAAATGAGGGAGGATAATAAACTATAAGGGCTTGTGCCCATGAAAAACCTAGAACTATATCAAGAAGTATCATGAAGTTTTTGCAAACTGAGAGCAAAATTTATATGTAATGTCTTATATGCCTTCTAAATATTTCACCTGAAACCAAACCTTCTCAGAAGTGCCGGTCACGAATTTTCAGTCCATAAAAACAAAAAACTCACCAAAATCATTGTTTTTTAAAAGTGACGTGCACACTTCAATGCTTCAAAGTAAAGTTCAAGGAGCACATCACAACAATTGTGAATAGTTCAAATAAACAAGCTTTTAACAACGGACAACTAGTAACACCTGTTGTCTTCGCGAATGTACATGTGCTTGTTGAGAAAGAGCACAAAACCAGAGCAGACAATTTTTTTGCAATCATTTTAAAATTCACTAACCTGAAGTCTTCAAACAAAACTAATTGCAGCAATAATCGAAGAAAATGACTTGATATATTCTCTTGTAGCTCCCCATTTGAACCCTTTGAATCAACTGTACGTGCAACTAATCCTTCCCTGCCAACAGTTTTGTCTCGGTATAAAAAGGATGCAAGGGCGTTGATTGCTCTCAAGCACATATCAACTGCATCAAGGTCCTGCAAAAGAAACGATAAATTCAATCTGTCTACAGTTTATCCTTTTTTACACTCGGGATTGGGGTTTGGAGAGTAAGGTTGAATATTAAACAAAATCCAATCACCATCTCAGATATCCTATGCCAAAGAAAAGCTAGACAAAGAGTTTGTTTGCAATATAACTTTTACTTTCAAGTTTATTGAGCCGCATATGATCCTCAATATGCGGCGTTAAAGATTTTGAAGTTGTTGGGACCTATCTCTTTTTCTTTAATTATCACAGCAAAGTATTATCAAAGAAAGAGGCCAATCATCATTACCCAACAAACACTACTGAACTTACTAGTGCATAACAAGACCTCAATTTACATTTCAGAATACCTTCACTAATCACTATGGCTCTTCTTACTCTCGCATCTAGTGTTGGTAAGGGAGATAATGATAGAAGACTTCAAACCAATGTTAGGGATTGGTCCATCATTTTGCTTAGTAAAGATTGAATAGAGTACAACGACAACAACAAGCTTTTATCTCACCATGTGGGATCGCTACATGAATCTTTTTTCTCCATTGTGTTTGGTTGGGAGTCAAATTCTCATCTAAATCTAATAAAGAAAGTTCATTTCTAATATTTTTAACCAAGTCTTTTTAGGTCTACCTTTACCTTTCTTTACATAACTCAAATCTAATGCATCTACTTTCCTAAACGGGTCATCGGAAGGCAGCCGTTTTATGTGACCAAACCATCTAAGGCGACTCTCTAATATTATCTTCCACTGGAGCTACTCCAACCTTTTCACATATACATTTTGTATGTTGTCTCTAAGAGTAAAGCCACTCAACCACCCGAGCATCCTCATTTCTGCAGCATTTAACTTAATATTATGCTTCTCACTACAGGAAAAATGGCTATTACCGGCGGTTCTAACGCTAATATTATCTTCCACTGGAGCTACTCCAACCTTTTCACATATACATTTTGTATGTTGTCTCTAAGAGTAAAGCCACTCAACCACCCGAGCATCCTCATTTCTGCAGCATTTAACTTAATATTATGCTTCTCACTACAGGAAAAATGGCTATTACCGGCGGTTCTAACGAGAGGTTTATGGACCGCCGGTGTTACCGGCGGTATAGCCGGCTGTTTAACCGCCGGCTTTTAACGGCGGCCTACCGGTGTTTTTTGTACGTTAAGCCGCT